CTGCAGACCTCCATGACAAGGTCCGCACGGGCGGCGAGGGCGTCCGTAGGTTCATCAATGCTGGATATAATTGCTAGGACGTTGGTGGGCAGTTTCTGTAGCCAAAACTCCTTGAGCGCAACTTCCCCGAGATCGTTGCGCATGTCTCTCAGCAGCTGCGAGGGTCGGCGGTCTCCGATGCCTCCGGGGAGAACAATCTCGCGGAAACGCGTAGATCGAGAGACACCGAAAACGTCGATGAGGCGGCGACGGATTAATTCGTTCGTAGATGAGGACCCGAGGAGGTCGGCGACAGCGCGAATGCCCTCTTCATCGAGCGCGGTTAACACGTGGTTCACGCGTGAGTTGTTTGTTGAAATGCGCTGGCACGCGAAGGTTGCTTCTGCGTGGATGAACCAGTGCCCCGGCGCGTGCCTCCAAAAGGCAGGAAGGCGGGCGACGGTGGCTACGTCAGGCGGTGTCGTGTTAACGTTGGGCGGGGGTGCTGTTTCCGCCTTGCACCTTTTCGGACGTTTGGCATGATTCACTCGCGACGGACTGATCGGACTAACGGGGTAAGCGGTACGCGTGTACAAATATCGAGGTCACCAATGCGAAGATGTCGGCGTGGTTAGTGCCGGCTGACTCCAACAGATCACGTAATCGTGACTAATTTAACCAATAAGAACAACAAAGCAGTTTGGTTGATGGTGTTTCGGTTTATTTATTACAAGAGCACGAAGACAAGTAAAATAGTATACAGTTAGTGTGCGATGGAACGTGAGTGTTAACAAGACGAGTCAGAAACGTTGGTCACGAGGTTTCGAGTGTGTGGAAACTCGGTAATGAGAGGTGCGTAGCGCGTAGGTGTGTACAGTCGCGAAATTGCGGGAGAAGAGAGTCGGCTCGGGCGGCGGCTAGACTGTAGCAGCCGTGCGAAACCGACCGTCGGTTTGGTGGGGAGTGACCAACGCCTTACAGTGCCGACGTCGTCCGGGGAGAAATCATGTGACGGCTGCGCCGCCACAATATAATAATAAGATGTTGATCAGATTTTTATGGGTTTGAAGTTCAAAAAGGTGCTCTGCTGAACAGTAGGTTACAAGTAGGTCCCTGTATAATGGATGATATTAAATTTGAATTCAATGATAAAATATCATTGTATAAGAAAAACGATTCTGAGCGGAGACGGTATGTCAGTTAAGGTTTAAGACATAATATATATGTACATATCTATGTTATTAAAAAAAAATTGACCTTTAATAGGTACCTATAATAAATTCCAAATTAATCATATCACAATATCCATTAGGTACTTATGACGAGTTATACATCAACAACAAACCCTGATACTATCATATATATAAAATAGTGTACTTTAGAAATTTCAAGTACTCAAAATTTGCTTATGTATTTTTTAGATTTTTTGGTAACAGAATTAACTACTTACGTGGAATCTTGTTTTAAATTTTCAGTCCTTAGATATAAAAGTTGAACATTAGAAACTTTCTTGTCACAGATTTTACGATCTTCAATTTTTATCCTTAAGTTATTAATTTTAGAGATATTGTAAAAAAACCGTAAAAAAGTGAAAAATTAAATCCAAGATGGCTGACGGGTTTGATGGCACGTTTTTTTTGGTTAATCAGCCACCCAAGTCAAAACTTTTCGCCAAGTTTCAAAACTTTAGTATTATTTGCAAATCAAAACCCCCTATTGACTGTACTATAGCTTGTATAGTACAAAAAGCTGCTTTTTTAATTGGTGTATTGGGGGTTAGATCATTTATAAGTTTTTTCCAAGATTCAGTTTTTTGATGTTTTATAATTTTTCTTGATAGGGCTTTGACTTTTTTTAGATTTATGTGGTCAGGGATTGTTTAGGTTTTTTTTATATCTGTTGAGTGTTTTTTTTTTTAGTTTTTTACAGCATTATTACATTCTTTGGACCACCAAGGGACTGGAGTTTTTTTGGGGTGTATTATTGTTTTCCATTGGATTTATGGGCTGCTTCAGTTATGATTGAAGTGAATTGTTTTACGATTATATCAATGTCATCTGTATTTGATCTGTGTTAAGAATTTGGTTTTCTGACATAGTTTTGGCTATTATGTCTGAATAGCTCTGTCCAGTTTAGATTTCTTAGGTTCCATTTGTTTGTGTTGTACGGGGTCTGGGGGGTGTTTCTATGGTGTATTTTAATTAATATTGGCCAATGATCGCTATTAAGTCGATCTTGACTTCCCATAAGAGGTGTGGGGAGATTGACGGAGAAGCTAAGGATAGGTCGATCGCTAAAAGGTTCCTTTGGACGAGTTATAACGAGTAAAGGTTCAATTGTTGAGGAGTGTAATATTTTCATCATCTATGATTTTCTCAATAATTTTTCCTCTAGGATTGGTGTGATTACATCCCCAATTTGTATTTCTACTGTTAAACTCGCCGACCATTATGTAAGGTGAGGGTAGTTACTTTATTATATTAATTATTTGTTGGTAAGAATAAAATATACTATCAGATAAATATATATTGAATATGGTTATTCCATGGTGTAGCTGTATTCTTGTTGCAATTACTTCAAGTTCTGAGTTGATAGGTATTGGTAATGATTTCATATTATTTTTAACTAGGATAGCTACCCCCCCCCCCCACTGGCGCGGTTTGGTTTGTTTGTCTTTCCTTGAAATATCCTTGGTGGTTCTTCACAGTTGCATTGTGGTTAGGTTTTAAATTTGTTTCTTAGAGACATATAATACTAGGTTTTAAATTATTTACTAAGAGTTGTAGATCAATTATTTTACTGTAATAACCAAGTAGGTTCCATTTTATTAGTGAATTCATTTATCGAGTTTGATATGTTATAAGCTTTATATGAGTTTAGAGAAATTATTAGGAAGATTGAAGATTATTAGGAAGGCATACAATTCAATGATACCCCCCAAACACTGACAAAAGGAGACAAAACATATTACGCCTCCCTAGAAAAAGGTGAAGCCCTTCCTGAAATCTTTGAAAAAAACATCAGTGATGAAAATTATTCCCCTGAGTTTAAAAACTCAAAATCAAAAAATGAAACAGATAATCCAATTACATTTTCAAAGGATGAAAACCATCCAATAAACATAAAAATCAATGTACAGGAATACTATGATGCACTTTGTAAATGCAATTCAAAAAACAGCACAGGCCATGATGAAATACCATACATATTTATTTTAAACAACACCTTATCAGTGCCATCTCTTAACTACTAAAAATTTTTAATTTAATATGGGAGAAGAGGACTCTCCATACTTCTTGGAAAATAGCCATTATTATACCAATACTTAAACCTAACAAAGATCGACACGAAGTTACATCTTATCGGCCAATATCATTAATATGCACCCTATGCAAATTGCTGGAAAAAATTGTTAGCAAAAGATTTTATTGGACTTTAAAACAAACAAATTTTATCAGCAACCAACAATTTGGTTTCCAGAGGAATAAGTCCACCATAGATGCTTTAACTATAATAACAGAAGACATATACTCAGCCTTCAACATCAAACAACACGTACTATTAACTTCACTTGACATTGAAAAAGCCTACGATATGATTTGGAGTCATCGAATACTAGATATACCCCCAAAAAATAAAATTAATGGCAATACACTCGCCTATATCTCAAATTTTCTATCAAAACGATCCTTCTCGGTGAAATTAAACGAAACCCATTCCAGTAATCATAATCCCAAAACGGCATACCCCAAGGATCAAGTTTAAGTGTCACCCTCTTTATAATAGCTATTAACGAACTTCCTAGTATAATACCGTCACCACTCAAAACCATTAAGTGTGCCGACGATACTACTATTTACTGCAAAAGGAAAAAATATAAACACATCAAAAACAATCATGCAAAACGCCATCAATGAAATCAGCAAATGGGAAAAATCTACGGGGTTAAAATTTGGCACAGTAAAATCCAAAAGTATTCTATTCTCGTAAAAAACAAATATAACCCCAACTAAAATATACATGAACAATATTCTAATTCCACCCACAAACGACTTAAAAATGTTAGGATTAAACCTAAACAATCAACTAAATTGGTCCAAACACATAAAATTGTTAAAAATTAAGACTAAATGTAATCAGGGCCACTTCCAAGCGATCATGGGGTGCTCATCATAATGAGAACATACAAAAGTCTAGTACTATCCGTCATCGATTATGGTTCCATAATTTATGGGGCAGCCCCTGATTCAATTTTAAAATCATTAGATCCAATCCACAACCAAGTCATCCGACTGATTATTGGTGCCTTTAAAACCAGCCCCATACCTAGCATCCTATGTGAGGCAAATACACCGCCACTCGAAATAAGATGAAACATGCTCATCCATAAATTTGCACTTAAAAGACTGGACGATAAGGACAATGCTATATCTATACCTTTTCAACACTTCACCTCCTTCATTGCACTTAAAAAAAAATCAGCCAATATCTACACGAATTAAAAGATGGCTAGACACAACAAATACACCACTGCCTAAACTGCTCTCCCCTGTTCTCTACACATTATACCATCCTTGGAAAATGAACCTAAACATCAATACCTGAATGATCCAAGAAATCCAAAGCATAGATCCATCCGAAATGTATTCAAATTTCCTTATATTTTAACAGGTTAGAGATTTTCGTATTTTTCCCCTCCCCTGAAAATGATCTCAAATACGCGACTGGTCACACCAGCCTCATTCTCTGGTAGGTGCTTAAACTTTAGAATAACATATTTTGTATGTATTTGTATTTACATCCCCTGTATTTGTATTCCACTTGAAATTAAGTTATATACAATTTATTTAATTTTATTTATTTATTCACATTGAGACTCCAAACTAGTGCCAATATTTAGCAAATTCTTATGCATAAAAAAAAATAACAAAAACAATATTCAACTTTATACCTTTATAATTATAAAAAAGAGTAGATGTTCAAATAAACTTAACAGTCAACAACCTAAATGACATATTTTCTTATGAACATTTTCTTTCTCCAAGAAAATTTGTGAAATAATCAGTAACCGAGGATTCAGTTGATGAAGAAGAATCCGATTGCAGATTATTTAACTGTCCATAGTTTGTGTAACAATGAGGAGATTTGTCTGCAGTTGTTAAATGTTGAAGTGTGGTAGTGTCAGTATTGTCATAGCTGGATGAATAAAGTTGATGGGAGTTATTTACATTTTTCATATCAACAACATCAAAATCAGCAATTAACTGCTGTAATAGAGCTTTAGCACACACTTTTTGGCATAATAATCCAGCATAGATTTGTTGATCCGTTTTCATTTTTTTCATTTTTGCTGCAAAACTAATACCCATCGCATCGTATTCACTAATCTCGTTGTTTGTGTCTAATGCTTCAGTACACTTTAGCATAAATGTATTTACTTTATCATCTAGTTTTTGTTTCTTAGTTTTTTTCGCATACGATTTTGAAGTTTTAAAAATCTAAAACAATAGTTTAACTGTTAACAATAAAAACAAAATACAAATGTATACACTATTATAATACAAATTAACTGTTAATTTTATTTATTTTTTCAGACAAAACAAAAAAACAAAGAGTGGAAAGAATTTGCTCAAGGATTCAAAGATCGTTGGCAAATGATTAATTGTGGGGGATGCATTGATGGAAAACATATACGCATAACTCAACCAGCTAAATCTGGAGCTCTTTATTATAACTATTAAAACTTTTACAGTGTAGTACTATGTTATATATGTTATTCATAATCTTGATACATGTTGTCATGTTGCTATTGTAATATTATGTTATACGCAGGGTATGGTGTCAGCACTGCATTAGTAATAAGAGGGTGACCAGTGGTGACGACGGGCAGTCAGTCAGTGCTGTGCTATAGTGCCCATGAGAGTGGTTCAGTGTCGGATGTTGACACTTGTGCCTATGCGTATGATTAACTGAACCTGAGTTATGAAGTGTTTGTGTAGTAAAGTTATTTCATGTTACAATAAAGTGAATCTTGTATAATTATAATCTATGAGTTGCAAACTTCATGAGTATATTGCTAACAACTAATGGCTGTCGTTAATACAATTATGAATTTATTTATGTTGATGTGGGCAAACAAGGAAGAATCTCTGATGGTGGTGTTATTCAAAAACTTCATTTCACAATATCCTATAAAATGGGAGTTTAAATTTGCCAACAAACATTGAATGTGATGAAGGTTTAAATTTTGTATTTATTGCAGATGAAGCTTTCGCATTGGAGGAACATAATTTAAAACCATACCCGCAAAAGAAACTAGATTACGAAAAACGAATTTATAATTATAGATTGGCACGTGCAAGAAACGTTGTTGAAAATGCATTTGGATTGATAGCAAATAGATTTAGAATTTTCCTCACAAGTATTAATTTAAATACATATGACATCAACTACATTGTTCTAGCAATTTGTACTTTACATAATTTTTTAATGAAAAATAGTTCTTCCTACATAAAACAAACATCCTTCGATAGTGAAAATGTTGAAACTCATGAAATAGAGCCAGGTACATGGAGACAAGAAATTAACAATATTAATGAAACAATTGCTTCATTACAAACAAATAGCGTAAAAAACAGTTCAACCATATCAAAAACGAACCGAGATGAGTATTTCAAATTCTTTAATGAAAAAGGTAAAATATCATGTCAAGATGAGATGACAAGAAGAGGAAAAGCATGAAAAAAATGTATTGTTTTAATTAATTTTAGATGAAAATTCCAGCCAGAGAAGCCTTTGAGGCTATATAGGATATTATCTAACAAAAATACCTTTTACATATACAATTTTGTTACAACAAATGGAGTAAATGTTATGAATTAAATATGTTAACGTTTATTATTTTGTTTGAAGACTATATTTTGCTTTGAATACGTCATTATGTTTGATGTTTGACAAAATTTACCTGATTTGTACTTTATTTTCCATCCTTGTCAGTCTCAGTTTGTACGAGTGTATCATTACAATCAATCACAGCTATGCTTTCATTTTCAACATACTCAGTGTTATAATCTTCGGAATGTGATGAATCTAAGTTGCTCACTGATGGAAGGGGATCCATGTCATTTTCAAAAGACAATAGTTCATAGTACCTAAATAACATAATATTATATATATTATACTTGCATTAATTATTAAATAGAATTTTATAGTTTTAGATACATTGTGATTGTTAGAAATTTGGAAATTAAAATTATTTAGGTACCTTTTACCATATTTACCTATACTAAGTAAAAATATAACAATACATTTATGATAGATTATTTAAACTAAAAAATTGTATGGTTAGAATAATTTTGTACTTATTATTATTCTTAGAAAAATATATGCAAGTAATAAAAACTCATTTAACATAATTTTATCAACATTAAATATAATAATATTTTACAATAAATTATAGTATCATAATATGACATAACATACCAAATTAAAAAGTTTATATTATTATTAGTTTATTAACTTAACAAAAAAGTGAGTTTCTATAACAAACTATATATTATATTTCTAAAACTTAAAAATCTATTTATCATAAGTATAAACTTACCACAATAGACCCTTTACCAGATCGTTTAGAGCTTTCAACTTTGGTCCTTTCTTTTCTGTATGCTCTTCGAATATTGTGTAGTTTATCTTTGATTATCTTCACATTTACATCTTTCATTCCATTTCTTTTTAATTGATCTACTAACTTAGAATAGGCTTGGTTTTACAAATTCTTATTTTTATATGCTTCTGTGTTGATTTTCCAGAGACACTCTTTGGATTTGTAGTGATCAATGAAATCACTTAAGATTGACATGTTCCACTCCATTATATAACTTGTATAACTAAAAATGAACAGCAGTACTCTACTACTGCAATAGTAATATAACTAATAACACAATTTCAACATTTCAAATTATTTATTTGAAATAAACAACTTACACAGTTAGAAATTTGAATATTTGATAATATTGTTCATAAGAAAAATAGGTGATAACGTGAGAATTCATTTATCAATATTTATTCTGTAGGATCCGGTCCTTGTCAATTAGTGGCCGACCAAAGATTGGATCTGTAGGACTTATTCCGTCGGATTTTGTATACCAAACGAATTTCATCCGGTGATCACCACACATGAGCGGATTTACCAGCGGACTTGATCCTTCGAGGACTAAATCCGTCAAAAAATCCTATCGTGTATGGCGGGCTATTAAGAGATATTTTAAGTATAGACAATTTTAACTATTTAATAACATTCATTAAAATAACCAATCTAAATATATTACATATATACATATATTATTGTTATCTATACCATTATCTCCATATACTTGTACTATACTATACTATACTGTATTTCCTTTATTTAAAAATTATGATGAGTGTAAATAACTTGTAAACATGTTTTGTTCAATTGTTCCCGGTTAATGACTTTAATGTTGAAGCCGTATTAATAAATAAAAAAAAAATACTGTTATTAAAATAATTAAAATTATAAAATTTTAAAAATTCACAAGTGAACAAATTTCTGACCACAAAATTTTGGTTCCCCTAAAATACTGGCTTGTGATGATTAAAACAAGATCAAGACTTTTAAAATCTTGGTCTTGCAGACTCAGTCTTGGTCTTTGTCTTGGTCTTGCGCAAGACTCTTGCTATTTTCACAAAATATATAAAAAATTTAAATTTAAAATTTAAATACTTTGTCAAATATATACCATTCAGTACCTATCAGCGATTTGTAAATCTTTTAATGCTGGTAAAATACTACATAATGTATTAATTCCATTTTTCAATTTTAAAGCTACCCCAAGCATATAACGAGTAGAATTCCACCTTGTTGGACAGTATAGTTTGGATTTTAGAATTGTTGGTACGCCTACTGTATCACATACCGAACAAAACTTAATTTTCACTTCTTCTTATTTTCTGAAAACAGAAAGCAGTTTCATTATGGTAGTACTTGAGTTTATAATGACATGGTCTTCAGTATTATCTTCATGATTCCCCTGATCCACTTCCATTTCATCTTCACTGTCTAATTCATTTTCACTATCCAATTCATCATCACTTTGTAATGTTAAATTCTTCATTAAATCTCGCACTCCCAAGTTTAAAATATGTGCGATACATCGAAAATGTTGATTTTCTGGATCAAAACTGGGGAGCAATTTTTCAAGTTCTGCCATAAATGTTTGCAGATGCATTGTAAACTGTAATCCCTTCTACTTTTTTTTCTAATTAAAACTCCACCAGAGATTTATAAAAAATACTAGAGATATCTTGTCCTGTATTTCGACCGTGGGAGGGTACAAAATCGAGGACCATCGATTGGTAATTCCATTCATTATCTATAAAATGTATAGTAATACCATAAAAAGATTTCCCTGCTATGGATGTCCATCCATCCATCGTGAATGACATTTTTGAATTACAATTTTGTAGATGGTCTTTGACTTGGGCTCTGAGCTGCTCGAATCGGTCTTTCACTTGGCGTCAAAGAGTGAATCGTTTGGGAAATATCAAATTCGGACAAATCAATTAAATATATTCCTGATTTTCCTTATCTTCAAAAAATGAAAAAGGAAGATTGTTGGAGCTGAAAATTATCAAATATGATATTATGCTAATCAGCTCGACGGCGACATCGTCCCTCCTCCTCCTACCGTGATTTATTGTAATTGTTATTTACCATATGTGTTTTGTTTTGTCTATATGTGATAATTATTGCTAGGTCGTTGGCCTCGCGATTATCAATGTTTTTGTTTTGATTTTCGTGATATATTATTATTGCGGCCAACGCCCTTTTTGTTACACACACTCTCATATTTTTTGTATCGCTCGTTCATAAACACGTAAATTTATTGTTGTTCTATCCTAGTCGTTAACAAAATTATTATTGTTCCGCTATTGCAGCGTTTTTATTGTTTTCGTGTTTTTTTACAATCTTTGTCGGGTGTACGTATTTATTGGTACACACCAAACATAAATTTTTATATGTGTACGTATTTTTTTGGTACACACCAAACATAAATTTTTATCATTGCGGTACGTGCATCGCTACTGGAAGCCGTTACTGCAACGGCATCATCGTTATTGTTTATAATTATAATAAACGTCCAATTGTTATTATTCCAACCGTGAGTTATTAACTTATATTATTGCTCTATACTATTGTCATCCGTGGGTGACCTGATCCGGCGGCTTGTACGTACACTATGTGCCTCACCGTAATCAAGTGCCACCTACTCCCGCGTAAGTCCGCCAGCACTCGCCGTGGTGTGTGGGAGGCCGCCCAGGTCATCATCGCGACTTCCAGGTCCGCGTAAGTCCGCCAGCAACGAACGTTGTGTGAGAGGCCGCCCAGGTCGTCCAGATCACCGTCGGTCCAGCTCAACCACAGCACAAGACTACGAATAGGGTTACGATAAATTTTAAGTACTGTTCCTGTTTGTTGTGAGCTCTGTGGTCATTGCACCAGACCGAATCGACCACAGAGACCCCCCTCCCCATAACTAGCCTGCACCATCCTCACTCCGTCAAGTAGGTCTTTCCTATCCTCGTCGTTGTCGTCGTTGTGCGTAGAATTGCCTACCTACCAACCATCAGGCGAAAGCACCTATAGTTGCCTACCCATTCAAATAGTCGGCGCTAGTGGTGGCATTGGCCCGCCACAATCATAGTAGTTCTCGGGCGTTTCCCCGAGTGGTCCTTCGGGAATGTGTTACGTCAGATGTCTTGGCGTGCACAAAGATACTTTTGTGTTATCCAATCTACTGTCGACTCGGTGAAATCTATAGTTCTATTTGCTGACTGAAATAGTAGCAAAAATGTGGATTTAGAATTTTGTTATTTAATAGTACATGTTATTTAATTTTATTATATCGTATGTCCACGTACATTTACTAACAGCAGTCGCAAATAAAAACATTCATCGTTTCTAGGATGAACAGTGTACATACCACCTAGTGCATCAGTTGAAAACACCTGTGGCCAGTCTGGAACTGGGGTTCCTTGTTTGCGACGTTGGAATTTCTTTGTTGATTGATTCCAAGTGTAATACTTGGGCATTTCAACGTACATCAGCGTCGCTGCGAATGGATCTGATTCACACATTGCAAAGAAGCTAGTCAATGTTGTCGATGGTGGTCTCTCAGCTCGTTGTAAGTGAAAAAACGATTTCCCCACTTTTCTGTTGAATTTTTCCTGAATTTTCCAGAATTTTCTTTGCTATAAACCTCACGGAGCCCAAGACCTTTCCAACGAATGCAAAACCGTGGAAATCGGTTCGTGCGTTCTCGAGTTATAGCGTCAGGGAGGAAAACCGGACTTATTTTTATATAATAGATTTGCTGACTGAAATAGTAGCAAAAATGTGGATTTAGAATTTTGTTATTTAATAGTACATGTTATTTAATTTTATTATATTTTATTGTAATAAAATGTATTATAAAATAATTTAGGTAATCAAAATATGCATATTATAATAAGACACCAACCTTCCAAAACTCTAATTTAAAATGTATTACTTATATTATTATTAATATATAATAATTGGCAAATTTTTAAATTATTAAATTTTTAACTATTTTAGATTCTGAAATGAGCGATGAATGTATTGATTCAACCAGGGCTTTGCACCGAAATCATTATTTTTGTTTAAGAAAGTTTTAATTCATTTAACATCAGAATTTTGTTGTATCGGATTTTTTTATTTTCCTACATTATAATTTTATTCCATGCACATTTACTCCATCGTAATTTATTATTTACTCTACAGGAAGTCTATGTCATTACTCCTTTGTAGTCTGTTTCTAAACAAAAGTATAGCACAGCGAGATACTTACGTGCTTGATTTTTAAAAATGGAACCCGATAAGGTAAGTTGAATATAGTAATTTTGATATTGATAATAGTATATAAATCTATTAATTTATATATATATCTGGCATAGAATACAAAGTATATTTAATTACCTATATATTTATAATGGTAATGTAGTAATTTATTTTACTATTAGTAAAAGTAAGTTGCATTCATTTTTGGCCGAAAATGTTGCATTTATTATGTTATTAATATTTAATTATTATAATATTATTTTTATAAATTATTATTGTTATTTAATTTAGAGGTATGAATAGTATACATATGCAATATAGCTTAAGATTGTTCTAAATGTTTTGAAAATGTTTATGTGTCTAAAAAAGCTTGTCCTGACTGATTCATTGCCTAGCCAGGACCACTGGAGCTATACATGTGAATTTTTATCAGTAGTTTCGTTTTATGATGGAAAATGACCAAGACCCATTAAGAAAGGATTTTTCCAAATTTAACTGATCCCGATCACTTCGTTTCCCCGTAAAAAAATTGTGATTGTTCAACTCCTTTTGGGTGCAACTCAACGGGTGTTTTTAAAATATACCAGTTGCCCTAAACAAAATGTACCAGTTGCCCTCACATGTTAATATATACACTATTACAATATAGTCTGTAAAATAGGGGAAGTAAATATACAAATAATAAATAAAATTATTTATAAAAATAATGTAAAATAGTATAAAATGATAGAATCAAATTTTGATATTTGCAATTATATATACCTACTTAATAATAATAATATAATTAAAAATTCAATGAAATAATAAATATTATAATTATGTGGCATTCAATGTTATAATTTGACAACAAAAAAACTTTATAAAATTACAGAAAAAATATCCATAATAAATAATATAGTTATAATGATAATAGTGGCATATTCAATGTGATAATTTGAATAAACTGACAGAAAAAATTCATATGCTTATGAATTATGATAATTACTAACAAAATAATATGAAAAAGTCAATGAAATAATAATATTATAATTATGTGGCATAATTTTTCAAAAAAAAAAAATACATATAATAATTATGTATTATGTCTTGTTATAATAATTACTAACAGATTTTACAAAATCGAATCTACTAATATTCTTGTTTTTATATTTATTTATAAAATCTTCAATTCTGGCTTTTTTGTTTAAGTATATATAGATTACTGATTAGTTATATTTTTAATTTCGTTTACACTGCTTATAGCAATGTATGTATTTGTTTGTACTTCTTTTATAACATTTACAAAAATAAAAATATTTGGATGTGCACTACTAAAGTTTCTCAAAAATGACGAATGAAATGATTCACATGCATTTGTAGTCCTTTCTGAATCAATTGAATTCATAGCCCACAGTAAAGGTGGAAAAGTCGAACTTGAGGAAATATATCTGTCAACTAAATAGTCAGAAAAGTCAACTCATTTTTCTGATAAAGGCTTAATTGACATCAGATCTTCAACAAAACAATCGTCTACTTCACTAGAGGGTAGTAATGAGAGACCGAAAATTAAGTGAAGCCATTTACCAATTTCTGAATTTGGATCTATATAATCCGGCTTTAATCCTAATTGTTGTATGTGTTTCCACCATGACTGAGTTAGATGAAATCTGCACCCCACGACTGTAATTAATGGCCAAACAACTTTGGAAGCTACATGGATACTTTGTTCGAAATCAGATACAATAATTGACGGATTGAATTTAAGTTCAAAGAGCATTTTTTTTTAACATATTAAATAATAATTCGTAAGTTTTCGATGATTTGTTAGGCAGTAATGAAAACACTAATGGAATATAATGTCCACTTTTGACACAGTGTATTGTAAAAAGTTGTAAAAAAAATTTCGCACAGCATTCAAATGTTCCGTCTACAAAAATTTTGTCTCGTGAACATAAAAATTTTATTTCTTCTTATAACTTCCCCCTCCTGTTTACCAAAAATCATCCCATTTACTTATTGTATCACTTGTAAATACAGATTGTAAATATATTATGTTTGTTCAATAAAAAAAAAAAAAAAAAAAAAATTTGATTCTGTCGTAAAGCATACAATATTTTCCGTCTCGTTGTTATATAATAGAAAATTCTCACCTTTGTAAGTATTTAATTGTAATAGTGTTAATGCTGAATGAACTTCAGAAATAGATTTTGGTAGTGGTGAAAGTGTTTTTCTTCTCGCACGATAAATGCTTCTGCGAATGGAGCTTACATCGTTTAATGTTACATCCACGACATTTGATTGAACTTCTTCCCGTATTAATTTTAATGGGCGTTTAGAAAAGTCATCCACAGCTTTCCGTTTTAAATTATTAGAAATGGTTACTTTTGTTAAATTTTTAAGCGGCGAATGTTTGTGTTCGATAACCGATCTTAAAAGCACCGTTTCATCTTCACTCACAAACAGCTTTGACGTACACGACTTTAATGTAAGTACATCGCCATTTCACACCCGCTTGTGTAATGCGATCTTTTTTGACATATCTTTTTAGTCCCAGGAACCAGTAATCGTTGAGTATACGTGCGACGGTTCGATCAACCGAAAAGTGTCCAGCATAGTCGTGCGCCGTGATCACAATTCCTTTCCGCATTGCTTTCGGTATTACTAGTAGGAGGCGACCATTATGTATTTTGTACAATATTCCGTCGGTGACTTGATACCCGTCTATTTCATCGTTTGTCTCGTTGGTTGTCCGTCCACTCCGGTCAGAATTCCCACCAAACTACAGACACGTTCATCGGCGGCTTGCAGTAGTCGGACCGCTTCGAATTTTGTCATGGCGATAAATACGTCGACACTATCGGACAGTTCATCTTCCACTGATCTGACGGTGCCTTCCTCGTCGTATGGCGCTCGGCTTAGCGCGTCTCCCTGGGGCATGTGCGTGCCCGGACGATACTTTATTTCAAAATCAAATTCTTGAAAGATTTCGTACCAACGGGCGATTTGAGGTTTAGTGGTCTTATGTATGTTTAAATACACGAGCGCCTGGCAACCGGTCACGACAGTAAATCGAATTCCCAATAAGTATTGGCGTAACCGATTCAAGGTCCAAATAATGGCAAAGAGTTCCAGGCGGCTGGAATGATACTTTGATTCTGCCAACGTGGTTCGTTTACTTACCGCGTAAACCATTTTTAATTGTGTTGATTTCGGCCCTTGAAACAATATTCCCTAAAGAGCCTTCGAACTCGCGTCGGTGTGTATTTCGGTGATTTCGGCGTCAGGACTGTACATAGCTACGACTGGGTCCGCACATAACGCGTTCTTTAGTTTTTCGAAAGCGACCTGTTGTTCGTCTCGCCATTCATATGGTACGTCCTTCGCAGTTAGTAGTGTCAGTGGCTCGGCCACTTCCGCGTATTTTACTATGAAGCGTCGGAAATACCCAGCGAGCCCCAGGAACCTCCGAACTTCGTGGGCATCGAGTGGTCACGGAAAATTAGCAAGCGCGTCTATTTTTAGTCCCGGACGTACTTCACCTTCTGTGATTCGGAAACCTAGGTAGTCCAATGTGCTCATTCCGAATGAGCACTTCGATGGTGTCAACGTAGGGTTCGCTTCTACGAGTGCCCTTAACACTAGTTCTAGAACTTCGAGCACGTCGTTCGCAGATTTGGACGGTATGATAATATCGTCAAGGTAAGTATGGACCTTCCCTGCTTCTTGAAGACGGCGGAAATTAATCTCTGAAATGTCGCGGGGGCGCCTTTTAGTCCAAAAGGCATCCTCTCGAATAGGGCCGTGGTGTCTTCTGTTACAAACGCCGTCTTTTCCTTTGCTTCCTCCGACAGTGGAATTTGTAAAAATCCGTTCGACAAATCCAAGGTCGTAAACATGCATCCGTCTGCAAGTTTACTTAATTGTGAATCGACGTCCGGCATGGGAAACGGCTGTGTAACCGTTTGTTGATTCAGCTTGCGGTAGTCGACGCAGAGCCTCTTCTCACCGTCTGCCTTATTGACTAATAACACCGGACTTGTGTAGGTGGAGGTGAAGTCAGCAACAATCCCAGCCCGCTTCCAGTCTTCGAGTATTTTTGATATTGTACGCCGATCCGTCGGTGACGTCTTATAAGGTTTCAGTCTCACGGGCGTGCAATTGTCGATTTCCTTAATATCCATCGTATGAACGTTCGTACAACCCAGCTCTCCAATCGATTTCGCGAATTCGCCACGATATTTGTTGATAAGAGTTAAGAACGTTTTACGGCAAGTTGAGTCCAATTCTGGTCCAATTTTTATGTCGTCGTCTGTGATCGGTTCGACGTGGGTTGAGTTCGCGTCGCATTCGGCCATTAACACCTGCGGATAATCGCCGTGTGTGTCATCTGTCAACTCTTTACCGTTGAGGTGACAATTCGTTTCGAAAATCATTTCATATCCTTGCTTGTAATAATTGGCGTGTGGGAGCTCCAACCAGGTGCGTCCCTCCATAACATCCACCGGGATGAGAACGTCGTCAGCTATTTTTACGTCGTGGCAGTCGGCGACAACACAGTCAATTGTTACGTTCGCGACAGCCTTGCCTACGGCGTTCACTCTTGGTCGGTCAACGTTGCCCACGGTGTATAGCGGACAAACTTGCGGCTCGATGATGAGTCGGCACTTCGCCGCGGCTGACCGTCGTACCAATACAGCTGAACAACCAGTATCGATCAGACCTGTGAGCGACACATCGTTCAACATTACATTCTTCAAAAACTGGTTAGGTTTCCGAGCGCTAAGTGCTGCGTCAACTTGGAATGCTTGTCCGGCTTCACCTTTTGCGGACTGCTCCGCGGATGAAGCTGGACACGTCTTACTGCGTCGATGTTGGTCCGAACCGCATCCGGTACATTTCATCGGTCGTTGCGGACGTGGACAGTCACGTGATAAATGCCCATGACCCCGGCAGTTATAGCAGCTGACTCCCGAGGTACGAGACATTTCGATACCCTTGTACGATATATCGGAAGTCGTTTTCCCTGGAGATTTGCCCGTCGGTTTGACGAAGTCCTTTGGCGTCGGTACGGCATCGGGTTGTTGCTTCGACGAATTTGCGAGCGTACGCCCGTTAGCGTAAGTCGAGGGTTTGTTTCGGTTCGGAGCCGACGTCGTCGTAAACAACTGTTGCCTTTTGGCGCGTAGTCTTTCCCAGTCGCGTATGTCCAACAACAATCCGTCGCTGTCCGACTGTTGGCGGCCCGAGACCCATTCGGCTTGTTGCTGCGACCTTAGCCCTTCGAGAACGTAATCCCGAGTTTCGACGAACGATAAATTTAGAACGACACAATCCAATTCTCGAGTACAAGTAGGTAGTCTATTGACGGCTCGTTAGGGGCTTGAACACGTGCTTCAAGCTCGAGCCACAAATCTGCTTTTCGCAGCGTGCGTACAAACGTTGCGTGGAACCTTTTAACAAATGTGTTCCAGTCATCGAACTGTTCGAGCCGGAACCAACTTCGCGCGGCTTCTGTTACGTGTGAGCGAACGTAAAGTAACCGGTAACGTAGTGGCCACTGGTTTACGTGAGCCAGCCCGTTGATGCAGATACAATTTTAATAAACTAAATTTAATTTAATGTTACAAATTAGGTAAGTTAAATAACAAATAACAAGCCTAATATAATAATATAACATTATAAAATAATATAGTTAAATTTAAATTAATAAATACCTTTCATCAATTGAGCAGTATAATATTGAGATAGTAAGTTATTTGCATGTTTATCTTTGACAGAACTTCAAAATAGCTTCTGTAAACTTCCCCAATTGCTTATGAAATGCCTAAAATCATAAGACTTATCATTTGGATACTTTAATCGAAAATCTACTTCCACCTAAAATATTAAATAAATAAATTAGATTGGTATAAACCCTAATAACATAATATGATTAAAATAAATATTAATTCAAACAAACCAATTCATAACCTCTTGGACTTTGAAGTATTGGCCAAGATTCAAAAAAATCAGACAAATTACAATTTATTGAATTGGTAATTTCATTGTTTCTTAATTCAAATGTTATTTCCCAGTTTTTCAAAATGTCATCAAACGAAGCAATCAACCGATCAGTTTTAAGCCATTCTTTAGCCAAATTAACTTGATCTAATGTTATTAGTTTATTACAATTATGTATTTGCATAGGTATATTTATTTTTTGCTCTAATATAAAATAAAAATAAAAAATACCTGTAAACACATTTATGGTATATTGGTATGACTTCCTGATGAACTATCAACTATTTTTGTCTGTATCTCAAGTGCACCGACTGCCCTAAGACGCTTAGAAACATTTTTCCATTTTTCTACCAACTTACATTGGCATGCGTCTGATGGGATCCTTCTGTCTTAAGCGGAATAAAATACACACTCTATAATAAAAATAAATAAAATGGTAACTAGCATAAAAGTATAGTTATTAAAATATTATATTTTTAATAACCTACTCAAAGTATTGAGTATAATTTATTATTATACATATCAAATATGGGCATTAATTAGTTAAAAATTTATTTTTTTTTTTTTACTTTTTAACTTACTACTTATAAGTATATCTATAGGTACTAGTTAATTTTTAAGTTTTAACCAACCTTATAATATTACGTGAAGTTAAACTCATGTTTGTATAAAGACTATAAAGGTATTATCTAATTACACGCGTAATTAAAACAAATTAATAATAGGAATAAGAAGAAATAATACAAATTTTTGACAAAAAATTTATATCTATACAAATATTGAAAGTAAGACAATCTATGTGTGGTAATTAAAATTTAATTAATTAACTATTTTATAATGAAGTTAAATTTATATTTTTTACCATATGGGTTTTCAATTTTTAAAGTTAAATATTAAATTGTTTTATTATTCACCTTTGATATAAATAACAAGTTATCTTATCATAGTCAATTCCATAGGTTTGAAATTTCTATATTTAGAATGCAGTGTTGTTTAAGAATTAGATGAAGAACATGACTTTAAATATGGTTCAAATCTATTACATTCGGGAACCTTTGCAATAGAGCCTGATTTTAAAGTTAACGGTCTGGAATGAAGTGGACTATCTTGTCAAACAAATTTGGACTGCTTGTGAAGTTTTCATTGACTTCAACAAACTTAGGTTTTGTACCATCATATATTTCCTCATTAGTTTCAGTATCCTATATAATATGTACAGACAGATTGAGATCAATTTTAAAAATAACGCCTACCTATGTGGATACCTATGTCCTATTATGATTTAAATTTTAAAGTAATGAAAATACTAATTTAAATATAAGAAACATTAATATGCTTACTTCAAAAAACTGGCCAAAAGAGGAAGAAGTCATGATATTATAGTTGTGGATGAACTGGCGTCTGGCATTAAATATAAAATGCACAATTACACAATAATCACTGTACTGAGGCACTAAGTGAAAAAATGAAAAGACAAACAACTGGAACAACGAGAATAAAAATACCGCGAATATCAAAAATATTAACAAAAGAAAAACACAAACTGATAATCTTATGTAATATAATCAAGCACTCGGCACTCTATGAGTTTTTGTTACTATTGCTAATTATAGTTGGTGGCAATCGGTTGATGACAATATGATATCGATACCAACTCACAAACATGAAACATGTGATATTCTCATAATTATATGGCTATATATTTGACAAAATTGTTGACGGGTTTAATAAATATTTTGATATTGATTGAAATATATATTGGTATTTAAATAATATATTATACCTAAATAGGTACATACATACCTTAATACGTTAAACGTAATTTAGTCATTAGTAAAAATAACTTCAAATCATAACAGTCAAATCAACTAGATGGCTAGTCACAAGTCACAACAACGTTCATGGATATTTATTTTAAGAGTAAAAATAATTCAGACTAACTCATTAACTTGTAGTCATTTTAATCCCCAAACATGTTAAATTCAAATAACTCGATTCTCAAAATAACAATTTTAATGAGTAATTTCAATACCTTCAAATAGTCGAAATAATATATTTAGATCAACACTCTATTGCAGTTGATTTAACTGACAAATGCAGTTTACTTCAATTATAATACTTGAGAACATGGTATGTAGTTAAAACAACTATCCCATTTCTATGTGTGTAAGTGTAAACCATAAACAAAACAC